CCCCTCCTTGAAGCTGACTGGCAAAGATATACGATGCAAAAGTCCAGGAAGCAGAAACATTAAACAGTGTTGCTGTATAAATACTGTAGTGTCACTGACTTATATTTTTAGTTTATAGAGTTTATACCAGTTTATAGAACTGGTATCAGGTTTGAAAACCTAGTTTCGTAGCAGACCTTGTCACTTCAACTCTATTGCACACATTGCTTTTTTGTTTTAAGAAAATCAGTTCAGTGATACAAGTAAAGCAGTTTCTCGGCTATACTTTCCTACATTGATTTTTTAAACACATACCACCAAACGACGAGAGAATGTAATGAAATTCAATGAAGACAGGCGTCATGGGGAATTTCTCACCCTGCCTATAATTAGAATTAGTGACTTGGATAATTCCCATTATATTGATGAAAATGGAGCTCTGAAATATTTAAACCATTCAGCAAAGCCTCAGTGCTTTACCCCCACGCAGGTCTAAATAAGCCCTGGCTCTCACAGACACCATTGCCAACAGGGGCAACATGTGCAAAACGCAGCAATAAATCAATAATGCACGATGCCCCATCAACTCTCACACCCTCGATTAAAGGATCTGACACACACTGATAAAAAAAAAGGCTAAAACACAAGCAGGATAAAAACATACACTGAAACAAACACTCTAGATAATCTGATCAATTTCTCTCTAAAAGAAAAAAGGAACAACAACAATATTTATTGAAAGTTTCAATGGATTTGCTTCTCATATTTTCCCCATGCAACAAACCTTTTCTTTAAGGGACAATGTGCAGCAAATTTGGCTTTTTATTAGCAAAAACCGAGTATTGCTTTAATGAATATATATTCTTCGAAGGTATAGATAAAAAAAAAAAAAAAAAAAAAAAAAGCTTTCTTATAGTTTATAATAATTAGTTTACACATACATGGGGGGTTGCACCCAATGGGACACGCCATGTTGGATTGCCATCAGAGTAGCTGAAAGGGGACAAACTTGTCAGCTTTATGCATTTTAACTTTATTTGAAAAAGTGTTGAGAGGAAAAATTCAAGCACAAGTAAAAAGACACAAAATATCTAGATCATCTAGTTTTTGCTGCAGCAGAGGATCATCTGTGCTCTTTGTGCAGTGAGAAGCGAACAACATCCCTGCAGACATCAGCGCAGCTTTTACCAGGCGGGACAATGTATGAGGGAGGGGGGCTCTAAGCTTTCTACTGGACAGGTGAGTTGATTCAATAGATCAGTGAAGTTGGGGCATTATTTTAGAAACTGGGCAGTGTGATCCAGCGACTAGTCTGTCCACTGGCAGATATGGCTGGTTTGTTTTCTATGCTACACTGGATGAGCTCCTATAAAAGTCATAAAAGCGTGTGACTGTATGCTTTTTCAGCTGTTTTCAAAGAGATCTTGCATAAGTTTCATAATTTGTTTTATGCGATATGACAAAGGTTATTAAGCCACCTCTGTCGTAACTATAAAAACGGTGAGTTCCTAGAATATACTGGACAAGCTCCTTTGCAACTTTTAAGAGAGCTGCTGTTATTTTTCACAATTCCTACCCGCGGAATTTCAGTCCGGATTTCATAGAAATGTTTCATGGGTTTCATCTTCTATTTTGGCTTATTTGACAACGGTTATGGCAGTCAATTTGTCCCCTCGATTCAGAAATAGAATGTCACTCCATGGCTTCCGTAGTTTTTCTTACACAAAAGAAAATCCTTCCAGCAAAGAGGGATTAATAGCTATTCAAAAAATAAGGATAGTGCAAATTTCCTATAGGAGTATAATTTTCATTAATCATAATAAGACACATAAGGTATAACTTCCAGTATTATTTCAGTGATTTTAAAATCTAACCCATGATATTTTTCCCCTCCTATTATTCCCATCCTTTCAATCCATCAATTGTTGCATTATTTTTAATTACTATAGCAGAGCATAGTGCGACATAATTAAATTGTAGGAAATAAAAAATAATAATAATTAGCCCCTCCCTTCAATTCCATCATCAATTCTTTGCAAAAACAAGCTTTTCATGGTTACTTACATAAAACCCAGTTGTACAAACCCCACTTCAAAGAGGTGAGTGTGCACATAAACCATTAAAACACAGCCCTGGGGCAGGTTAAGGTGCAGAGTAAATTCAATTTTATAGGCTTGCATGCTCGTAACGTCTTGTAGTGCTTCCCTGTGCTCAGCAGAGCTTTATATAGAGCTCAATAAAGTAGAACTAATGTTGCAGCTCTTGTTTACTTTTGTTAATCCTCCTTTGCAAGTTAATGAAGCAAACGGAGAATTTGATGACCAAGCAGCTTGCATAGCAAACATCGCACTTTCTTTAATGTCAAGTGATGTTTAGGTTTTAACAAACACACCGTCCACAAACTAAACAGTAAAAGTGCTAATGATTCCACTAACCAAATGTAAAGCTTAATGTCAAAGGGCAGTTTGATGTAACCGGAGTGGGGCTTCCCCCCCACCCCCTGAGGGCAGCTGGGATATCGTTTTTCTGGACTGGTTACAAACAAAGTGCCTGTCACTCAGTCCTTCCCAAATCCTCTTTGTGCACTTTGTTTTTTTTCTAAGTTATGTTTAGATAATCTACACTTTAAGCTCTTCATTTCAACTTTCGCTTTCAGTCTCGCACCATTCACCTCCTCCGGGGTAGTCACATTTCTCTGTTACGTACTCCTCACTCCGTCGTTCCTAGGACCACTTCTGTATGAAACAGTTCTGCAAAATTCTGTAGTGGGATCGTTTCCCTTGAAATCCATCAAGGTGAGAAATAACCGATGAACAAATATCCAGTCACAGACCATTTGGCATCATCACCCCCTGTTTTAAACAAACATGCACAAATACACACTAAACTAAAATAACCTTATAGCAAAAGAAAGTACATGTGATGCTTGAGTACGACGTTAGCCATGTAACCGCTGAACCACCAAAAAATTGTCTATAATTTTTTTTAACTAGAGTCATCATTAAACATTTTAAGAAATTAAAAGAAAAACCATAATATTTTAACTAGTAGTGTGACTTAATTTAAATTTTAAATAAAGTTACTTACAGGTTCTGTAATTAACTAATCTTGATTAATTGTATTTTAATTGAAAACCATATAATGGCAAGAAAAACAACTTTTTTTAATAAAAAACTCTGTTGATCATTTTAAATCCATTATTTTGTGTTTTTTACTTACTTTTTTAAAAAAAACCTGATATTTAATGCATCTACTTTGGAAAACAACTTCTGCAGAACTGAAAGGTCATGAACATTAATTATATATCATATAAAAAATATACAGCAACAAGGCATACAAGGCAAACTTAAGAGCTTAATGTTTGCTGTAAACAGAAATGGAAAAGTTTAATTTCTGAAAACAGAAGCAGAACTATGACAGTAGAGCTTTGCTTTCAGAGCTGAACATTTGCTGTTCCACATGTAACTTTTAGAGCTATTAATACTTGGACACCACTGAGGCTACTTTTTTTCCCCTAAAGCTAGGTATAAACACAAACCCCAGTCGCCTCTGCAGATGGCCGCTCACACTGAGCCTGGTTCTGCTGGAGGTTTCTTCCTGTTAAAAGGGAGTTTTTCCTCTCCACTGTCGCACAAGCATGCTTAGTGTGAGGGATTGCATTCATGTCAATGAGTCAATGAAATCAGCTGGTTTTTCTAAGATAGAAAACATTGATTCAATCTGACTGTATGATCTGGTTGAACTGTAAAGTGCCTTGAGATGACGTGTTGTGAATTGGCGCTATAGAAATAAACTGAATTGAATTGTTTAATTAAAACAATTCATCTCCATTTTAGCAGGGAGTTGTTTTTAATGTGTACAGTGTGTGACACATGCTAATGTGTTTGCATGTAATTTAAGCATTCTGATTTGTATAATGGACAACTTCAGCCTTTCACCTCATTTCTGTAACTTTTGCTTTTGTAGTCCAGGATTAGACGAGCATAGTCTATGTGCTCTGACGTGAAATCTAGTAAGATGCAGTCCTTACTGCCCACCTCATGAAGGTGAAGGAACAGGAGCCAGGGGCTTTAATAAGCCGATTTCAGATGCAGTCTGCTTGAGCTGTTTTCAGCTGAGCAGGTGAAAATTCAGGACTAAATTGTTTAAAGGTATAATTGACTTTTGAACCATCGGCGTAAAATTCTGTTATCCAGGGCTACAGTGCAGTCTTAGAATGTGTGTGTCACGGCCACATGAAAGCTTTCAGTGTCCCTCAACTTAAAAATAGAGCAGAGAAAGCCTCTTTGTGTTCGTCCCTTTCAAAGGAGATCTCCACAAAGGTTTGCACTGTCTGCTTCTCAGTGACTCCGTGTGTTTTCCCTAAACTCTGCACTCAAACAACACTCTTCTTACCACTGGGAAGGCTTATATTACTGGCATAAAACTGAGACCTCATAGCATTTAAGAATGGCACCAGTGACCTAATTCATGGTACACTTTGGAGATAAACAGGAGATAATTACTTCCATCTTTAATCTCAGAACCTACAGCTCATCCTGTGTAACAATTATTTTCATTGCTAATATACTTTAGCCTCAGGAGGACAATTCATTCAGAAATGAACAAAAGCATATGTGCACATGGATCAGGATGTCTGAAATAGATAAATGACGATTAACCCCTAAAAATTATGTATAAAAACAAGCATCCAGTAAAACCCAATGTAATACTGCTTCCCATCTGAAAACCTAACATGACACCAGCTGGAATAGTTTCTCTTGGTTTTTCCTTCAGGATGTGGAAAGCCATCCGGAATTTAGCTGAACTATTCTGTGGAAGTATCATTTTAAAATTACAGTGTTTTATTCTCCAGACAGTAGATTTCTGCATCCAATTATCCTAAACATCATTACGCCCCCCCACTTTATCTGCAAGAGAACAGCAGCGTATGCAGGGATTTCTAACATGTCAGTAGTGCAAAGGGCTTCCTGTGAGCATCAGTTAATCTCTGTAATAATCCCAGCACATCAGGTACCAACCGGTTTGGGCATCTTTCTCTCTCCTCCACTTCCTTCTTGCTGATGAAACACAAATAAGTCGTCCTCCGTCTTCCTGCAGCTCTCTGGGGCTCCACCACCTCACTGCAAAAAATATAAATCTCAATAAGTTATTTTTTCTTAAAATAAGTGTGTTTTTCCTTGATTTGAGGAGGTAAGTAAGACACTTTGCCAATGGAACAAGACAATTTCCTTTTAAAATAAGAAAAAACTATTTTATCGTCTTATTTCAAGTAAATATTATCTAACTATCTTATTTTAAGAGTGAAAATACTCATTCCATTGGCAAATCATCTTATTTACCTGCTCAAATTAAGGCTAAATATACTTAATTTAAGCCATTTTTTACTTATTTCTGGATTGTTTTTGCAGTGAACACAGAAAAAACAAGCCATTTATTTAGGTCCATTCTATATCAGTAGAAAGATCACGGTCACTACTGTTAAGGTCACAAGCAAACGCAATGAATTTTTCGAAAAGGATGAACCTTTTTCGTCTTCGCTTTTCACAAACGCATACATTCTCCTTCAGGGCTACCGTAGACTGGCAAAACTCTCCCTCACCTCCACAAATCATTCAGAGCTTCCAATCCTGGTGTATAAAAGTCATCATTCAGACCTCTTCATTTTGAAAGAATGGGTCACTTTTAGGAGCTTAAAAAACCTATCATGGCATCATGATGCAATAAGAATGGTTAATATTCCACTTTAAAGTAGTATTTTTTAAAGTAGTATATTCTAGTATTATAACCAAGTGAAAACCACCAGGAATGGGAATAACCTACCAACTTCAGAGTAAAGAGGTAGGTAACAGAAAATCCGAGCATGAGGAGCAGGATGCCAACAGATACCCCATTTAAACTACCCTTGAAAAACCGTGCCAGGACCGGTCCGAGCTCAGTAACTGAGATAACTTATCGTGTGTAAATGGAAAGCAAACTGAACTGAACCAAGCTAGACACAACCAAACCGCGCTAACTGCAGACCAGTTCCAGAGGTGGGCTCGGCTCGGTTTTTTCCTGGCTCGGTTCTCTGATAACAAGAGCGCATGACCAGAACGCCTCATCTCCGTCTGGCTGCACATCCAGAGTCACACTCCATTCCAGTAATTGGCGGTAATCCCCCTCCAGAAGTTGCTTGCCAACCAACACAAAACAGAAGAGGAAGAACAACTATAAACAACAATCGAAATCTTCTCCACGCAACATTTTAAATAATGGCTTCAAAAGAGAAAAAACACCAAAGTACAGCAATAATAATCAAGCATAACTTTCTGAATGTGACGGGCGCCGCCATTTTGATTTGCTTGATTCCCTCCTTCTTCATCTTCTTCTTCTTGTGTTTCATGGCAGCTGGCAAACTTTTGGTGCATTACCGCCACCATCTGCTTGATTTCCTTCTTCAATACTGGCAGTAATACCGCAGATCGTCACTAGGAGGCGAGGAGTCGAGGAACCAAGATAGCATGATGTGTAAACGGACATCAGAACCGAGCTCGGCCTGGTAAACTGATCCGAGCTCAGACCGGTCTCGGCATGGATCGGTTTTTCAAGGGTAGTGTAAATGGGTAAGAGCTTCACTGAACGGGTTTTAATGGCTGAGAAGCAGCGTGTTGATGTTAAACTTTAGGTGTAGTAGTGAAAAGCACAGCACAACAGGACTCTAAAGCAGGGGTTCCTTTAGTGGAGGTCCTGTTAAAAGGCAGTCTTTCCTCTCCACTGTCACTACAAGCATGCTTAGTGTGAGGGGTTCCATTAGTCAATGAGTCGATGCAATCAACTGGTTTTCCTTAGATAGAAAACTTTGAATGAATTTGACTGTATGATCTGGTTGAACTGTAAAGTGCCTTGAGATGACATGTGTTGTGAATTGGCGCTATATAAATAAATTAAACTGAATTAAATTAACCCCCCCCCCACCCCCACCCAGGAGATAACCACATAGCAAGCTGGGTGCCATTAGATTGTTTTAACAATCCCTGAGGTATCTGGAGGACCAAATTATACAATTAAATTCATAAACGTGTCTCTTACATCAAACAAATAAATGTACCATGAAGTAAGCAAATTTAACATTTAGTTTTTTCAATACATAAAAGATTAGATAAACAGATATACTGTAATCCATCCCTTTAAATATTTAAATATAAATTTAAACATTAAAATGGGCAATTCAATTTACAACTGTCCAAAAAAAACATAATAAATATAGAGTGAAGTACCTATATGTGTTTTTTGGGGTTGTCAATGTGTTGCATTGTTATTTTAGCGATGACAGGCTGAAAGGTTTGGGAACCTCTGCTGCTATAGAGCAGCAGAAGGGAAAACAAAAACAGGCTTTTCCAAATGGCAATCTGATTGACAGGTGTGGGTTTGCAGTTTGTCAGTAGATCAGCACCTGCCTGATGGCATTATTATTCCCTCTAAGCTGATTGCCCATTCTCAGCGCACAGGAAAATCTATGCAGCGCATAAAATAAAATCAAACAAACTTTAAATCATTTAGATCAATAAAGTGTTTTGCACATCATGTTAAATCAGTGTGTCATTTGTTTTTATAATGTAAAATCTACAATAAAAATTTGAGTTATTGGCGGCCCTATGCTCTGGATGTAGATCCCAGCCCCGCTGCCCAGCAGTATTTTGGCATGGCTGCAGTGATAGTTTAATTCTCGTGTGCAAAAAAATAAAATAAAATGTGCATTGTTTTCCCTCATGTACAGAACTGTTTGAAAACCGTGTTTAGATTTTGCACATGGAGGAAAAAAGGTTTGATAAAACAGATAGGTTAAAATGCAATCACTGAACCCGTGAATATAACCAGAAAAATCTCCCTCAATCCGCCATGTCTAGGGATGCACGATATAATCGGCCCCCTATCGGTATCGGCCTGTATCGGCCTTAAAACTGAATATCGGACATCGGCCACCCCACCGATATTTAACCCGATATTTGATCAGCTTCTGAGTTTCTAAAGTCTTAAAAAAAAAAAAAATACTACTTCTTCTTCCTCAAAAACTTATTTTTTACAGACTTAAAAACTTCTAAAGACGAGGGAAAAAATATTGATACATTAAAATATCACAATATCTTCATATGCTGATATATTGCCATTTAAAAACACCATATCAATCTCTTTTACTAATGAAATATTGCTATATGTCATCGTTATGCTACGAAATCCCCCGAAAATTCACGAAATTTTGCCATATTTTAATATGTTCATATATTGATGCGGTATCAATCTATTTCACTAACAAAATCTCACAAGAATTTGCAAAATATCACCAGAGTTTGTAACAGAACGATGAAATTTCACGAGATTTTGAAAGTAAAATAGATCGATACCGCGTTTTTAAAAATCGATTTGATGTCAGCACATGAAAATATATTTGAGTATATTATTTTTCAAAGTGTCAGAAATGGCTAACAAAACTGCTATTTTCAATGACTACCATTTTTTTGTCCAGCTTTAACATCGGTATCGGTTATCGGCTACATGAGTTTTAAAATATCGGCATATCGGATATCGGCCAAAATCCCAATATCGTGCATCCCTAGCCATGTCCAAAGGTAAAAGACTAATAGCAAAATAAACTAACACTTATTCTCCTAAAATTAATATATAGATGTGCAGTAAAAAGGCTGCAGATTCTCTGATGGATGCTGTTTCAAGTTTTGAAAAGATTAAACAGATTTTAGCAACATGTGTGGATGCTTGAAAAATAAAAGGATAATCTTGTTTATCTTTTTTTTATTCCAGACTGGAACCACTTTCAAAGTATCTGCAGCACTGATAGCTAAAACAAATAAATGCAAAGCTGTAATAATCCATAGGATAAAATCGGAATAAACTAAAGTGGAACCCAACAGGTCAGGCTTCAAGGAAGGAAAACAAAAAAAAAATAAGCTGACTTTGACCAGCGATATGTTCGTTTCACAGACTTTTTCACAGCTTGGAACAATGCGTAAGAATCTGAACTATATAAATCAATTAACTTATTGATGTAGTGAAATATTTGTAACCTAATAGTAGGTGTGCAATAAAATAAAATAAAAAGTAGCTAAAAACGATCATCTTACTGAATCCAGCTGATATGCGATGATGCTTTTAGTTTATCAAAACCGACATAAATTTTGGTGATATTACCAAAATAGCTGATTCGTTGGATTGTCCTGACATGTTTTAATTTGGGTCAATTAGATAATGTAATCAGTTTACTTGAATCTCCTGATATATGTTCTTTGCATTGTAAGACAACAGCAAAACAGGGGAAAGTATTTATTGAACAAATGACTAGTACACAGAAAAGGCCAATTATTTTCCCACCCACAATGCAAAGTGCTTTACTGATGAGAACAAAATGGAAATAGCAATTTGAAATAACAGATCTAATCTCTTTGAAAGTGTTTTTTAAAATTCAACCACAGAAAAGGGACAGTCCCTTGTAACATTCAGCTGCTGCTTAGTGTTGTTGGCTGCAGCAGAAAACTTCCAGTCCATCCAAAAAAGAGAGAACGGCGTCCAGGAGAAAGCAGCTTCTAAGACTCCCTGCCAAGTTTTGTTGATGGCAAAAATGAGGCAAGGGAAGTGGCTTGTATCTAAGAGAAAACCTCAAATGTAGTAGCAGAAACCACACAGGAAGAAACCGAAACAGCTTCATGAAAAGAAGGAAACAAACACCTCTCCTTTGTTCTGATTTGCTTTTCACACACAGAAAAAAAAGCCTTTCACTGCAGCCTTATCTCGACCTTCAAGATGCCTAAAACGGTGTATATAAAATAAAGAGATGAGTTAGTAGGTGTCCCAAAGGTGCCGGATCTTTTGTAATGTGCTGAGCCCGAAATAGACGTCTCTCAAGTGTCAGTGCAGAGAATTAAACCAGGCTCAGTCACCAGCTTTCGTTCCCTTTCAGGCGAGTCAAACAATCAAATCTGGTGTTTTGCTTGAACATTTGGACTAAAAGCTGTACCAGCAATACAGCGATTAATAGGGTTACATTAAAACCACAAAAAACAATCTATGTAACTGACAGGGATACATTAAAAATATATATATAAAATCAGATCTATGCAAAAGTCA